TGGCGATCCTGTGTGTTCACCAAATCGGACATCCTACCGGACGCGGTTCGATGGCCGATCTAACATACCCGGTTCCCCGCTCTCTTAGGAGCCTGGGACAGGGATGTTACAATTGGTATCAGAGCCCAGGATTAGATCACTTTAGCTCCGTTCTAAAGTGGTCGCGCCCGTTTTTGTTTTCAAAGAGAAAACTGTTTGCGAAAACATTTTTATTAAAATCTTTTTAAAATGGTTTCAAACCTAGAACAATCAACAACTTATGGACGCTGATATTATAGTTTCCTCTATCCTCTTTCTTGTTTGTTGTTAGGGGCCTAGGTTCAGGACGCGAGAAACCGCATGGAAGAGGGTTATGTCTTTAACCATGTGGTAGTTAAGTCTGCCTTTGGAGTTGCAACAAAATTGCCTCTAGACAAGACTGGTTATTGGTGTGGTTCAGACTGTACCAGGGTGGTTGTTCTGAAACTACCACACTGTGCGATGCCAGTCCTGACTATGCAATCTTTGGTTCTATAGCAGCCATCAACATGTATGATTAGGTTCAGACCTGGTCTACATAGTTAAGGTATTAAAAGGCAGGCGTCGCAAGAGTCCATAGAAATTGTCAGACTGTAAAAAGTCAGGCGAGTTTCATCTCGGAATGGCGAGGAACCTAGCTGTGTTATCCAAAGAGAACGGATGTGCTTGAATACCTTTGGAATTCACACTCTACCAGATTCAGAGGATTTCACGGTGGCTTTAGTGTGTATCGAATCCTGCTCAGCAATTCAACCAATAGCTTTCTTTTTCCTTCTCTTCCTTCCTTTTTACCTTAGACCTATGTTCAAGATCCGAGAGCCTGCGCGCAAGAAGTTCACTTCTTTCCTCAAGTGAAGTTTAGCAAAGAGCTTGTCGTCATTTCTGCTGGTAGTGAAGCAGAAGAAGATCCTTCTTCTGATTGTTCTCTTTTATATTTTAAAAAAAAAAAGTTTCAAAGGAGTATAACTTTATTTTTATTTGTTTGGATTATGGATTGCTTTTGGTTTCTTATGAACTAGTTAGATTCCATGCTAGTGTTCTTTTATTTTTCCTTAAAAAAAAAAAATGTTATACTCCTCCTTGTCACATTAATAAAATGGTTTTTGGCTTTTACTCAAAATGTTCTTATTGCATCATACCTTAAACTCTCCCTCCTACACGATTATGTTGATCACTCTGCGTTCTAAACCCTTAGCCTCCAACTCCTTCTTGGCGCCATGTGTCCTTTGGCTTCCCTTCTGCTTTTCCTTCCCTAGCCATTGTCTTTTCTGGTGCCATGGCTCACTTCTAATTCCTTTCCTGATTTCATTTTTGAGCCATTCCGGATTCCATTTTTGCCTCTCTATTTGGTTTCACTTCTGACTTCATTTTGCCTTTCTTCCTAACCCCATTTCCAATTTCCTTTCTAAATTCATTTCTGAGTCTTCTGACCTTATTTTTGTTTTTCCTTTTTGATCTCATCTTTAATTTTCTTCCTACCTTCTTTCTGATTCCTTATGGCCATTTTCCTCTCAGCCTTATCTTTCATAGTGCCATAATTTCTTGTGGTTCTATTCCTAATCTCCTTCCGAATTTCTATTCCTGTTTTCCCCTTCTAATTTCATCTCCAATTCTCATCTTGGATCCATTCCATTTTCTGCTTCCATTTCTTGCTCCCATTCCGATCCTCCTTCTGATTTCATTCATGTCTTCCTCTCCGTTATTCCTAGCCTTATCTTCTGAATTCCTTTCTGATTTCTTCTCTGAGTTCCTTTCTGATTTCCTTTCCGATTTCCTTTCTACTTCCATTTCCTGAGTTCATTTCTGAATTCCTTCTCTTCTGCGACCAAGGTCCTCTTGTCATTTGTGCCTTCGATTCCCTTGGTTTGTAGTCTTCGAAATTCCTTTCAGGAACTTCTCTCTCATAGGATTCGGGGACAAATCCTGTCTAAGGGGGGAAGATTGTAACATCCCGACTTTTGGTTAACCAAATATCGGATGTTACCAGTTCCTAATTCCGGTTTTATTAAATTAAACCATCTCTATTTCCATTTCTTTTTATTTCCTTTTTATTTGGGCCTTTTCTAAATTCTTTCTAAGAGTCATTAAGCCCAGACCATCTATTTAACCTCTATATAAATACCTAATTAAATCCCTAAAACCCTTATTAAGCTCTTAATCAACCCTAGCCACCTTTTTCCTCTCTCTTTCTCTCCTCTCTGCGCCGAGCTGCTCTCTTCCTCTCTCTCTCTCTGCGTTTTCTTCTTCTTCTTTCTCTCTCTTGGCCGTATCTCTCTCTCTCCTTGCCGCGGCCGCCGCCATCCTCCAAGCCTCTCTCTTCGCCGAAGCTTCCTTGCCCAGCTGTGATGTCTGCGCCGCCTCCTTCTCCTTTGGGTGAGATGGGATCTGATTCTGATGGATCTCCTCTTAGATCTCCTTCTCCTTTGCCTCCTCCTCCTGTTTCTCAGCCTTCTAAGCCAAGGTGAGGGCTATGTGGCTTCATCCTCTCTTACATATGCATGGTTGACTTTTAAGTGGTCTTTTCTTAGATGAGGCTTAGATCTGCTTGTTAGGGCTGTTAGAATTGTTTAGGACCTGAATCTATGTTGCCTGTTTGTTGATGATTGCTGGTTGCTGGTGGAATGAGATAATTAACCTGAATATGGATCTAAACCTATTTGGACTTTAAAATATTGATTGTGTGATGTGACCTGATTAATGTTCCTTTTTGTTACAATTGGTATCACCAAAAGTGCATCTTAATAATGGAAGGACCTTTAAGAAATGGATGATTCTTTGAAATGGGTGATTGTGCATAGTAGATCTCTGATAGGACCCCTGGCTCCTGGAGGCGGGAGTCAGTGTTGTTTGTTGGCTATCGCTGTCGTGTGAGGCACGGCTAGAGCCATCGCTGGAGTGGATTAGCGATCCACTGTTTATTGAGCCGTCCAAAGGGACCACTGGGTACAGCTTTCTGGGTGACTGCTTTGAGCAGCCGTCTAAGTGACCGTTAGCTCATAGCCTGTCTTGGTGATTGCTGAGGATCAGTCTGTGTGACTGGCAGAGTGAACCTGACTAATGGATATGGTAATAGGCCAGCCATTGGATGGGATTATTCTGGTTGCCTTTCTGGGTGAGGCATGGGGGCCCCACGTGGCAGCCCACTGTAACTGGCAAGGGCCAGGGACCCGCTGCTTGTGTAGTTGCTTGTAAGGTTACCCTTGAATGCTGTGTGATTGATTGTTATGAATGAACTGTTTATATATAAGTAAATATATCTATATATGTGTTGCTTGGGCTTGCTTTAGGATTAGATCTCTTAAAACCAATTTATGCTAGTTTGATGATGTTGTGGGCCTCCTTAAGGCCCATCCTCACTGAGTAATCCCAATTACTCACCCCTCCTCTTCCCTTGTCTTTCAGGTTTAGTAGAGAGATCAGCCTAAGTCTGTGTTGTTGATTGTTACTTGAGCGTTTTCCTGGCGATCCTGTGTGCTCACCAAATCGGACATCCTACCGGACGCGGTTCGATGGCCGATCTAACATACCCGGCTCCCCGCTCTCTTAAGAGCCTTGGATAGGGATGTTACAATATGTATGGCCATTGGTCGTATATACAGCCATACCATCTGATGAGTCTCTCTACTCATTCTATGTAACTTTTAAATCGTGGATATTCATTTATTTATTTATAATTCTCACAATATTACTAACAATATTAACATTATTTGGTTATATTTTTGTTCATGATCAGCCTTAACTAGCTAGGTAAAATATTGGAGTGGATTAAAGGCAAATGGTTACTAACAATCCCACAGTAACGATTCTAACAATTATGCAAATCATGTGAGACACATTAGCCGTTCTGTTTAACAAACTTAATAAATGGACAGCAATTTTATGCCAAACCCACAAAAACTAAAATTTTATTATGCCAATCAGCTAATAATAGAAAACATGGATCACACGAAAACAAAATTGAGGACAAGACACGATATAGTACTAAAACTGTAAACCATCTAAATTGTCTACAACTATGGATTGGTTCTCTCCTATGTTCAGCAACTTCATAGCGGCTACCTGGAACGGAGCTAGATATGTGGATTTTTCAAGATATCTGTATCCGGATTCGAATTCGGTGAATAATCAATTTTACTATCTGGATCCAGATTCGAATATTTACGGATATCTGACCGGATATCCGGTTTCGTTGATTTAAAAAACTATCTACAATTTTTTCAAATTATAATGAGATAACATAGATAATTAAAATGTATCATCATAGAAAGTTACAAATAGCAAAAATTAAAAAGTATTCAACTAACATTTAAATAACACAAAGTTTAAAAGTTTATATATCAAAAGAGAAGAAAGTAATAGAGAAGTTAATTTATCTTCATGTCCATGTGCTATCCATTTTCATGTCCTTTTCTCACAATTTGAAAGAAAAAATTATCATGCAATATGAATTTTAATTAAATATAAAGAAGTTAAACCAAAAACAATTTTAAAGTTAATTGTTTAAAATGAATAAATATTATCAAAAATAAATAAATATTTAACAAACGGATAACGGATAACGGATAACGAATATCCGATTTCAAAATTTTCTATTATTCGGTATCCAAAATAACCGAATACTTAATTTCATTATCCGGATCCAAATTCAAACTACATGGATATTCAGTTTTTATGTATCGGATGTGACCGGATACCGGATCGGAGACCGGATACCGGATAATAATTTCAGGCCTAGCTTGGAGCATATAAATAGTCTTTAGCATGAAAAAGATATTTAGTAATTAATAAAATAAGTAAATAATAAATAATGAGCAATAAACTCTGCCAACAAGCTTACTGATTAAATGGTATTGATATCCATCAAAGCAGACATGATCCCTGGGAATATAAAACCTCTCTAATCAGGATTTTTTTGTCCTAACTATAGAGAGAAAACAAATTACACTCAGAGATTCCACAGTGAAAAAAAAACACACAGGAAATAAACACTAATAAAAAAAGCTAAATCAGCAGCGAAGAATCTACTTATATTACAGACCAAAGCGCTAATTAATTTAAAGCCTTTGATTTCACGAAATCTTCAGAGGAAAACATAGGCCTGCCCTTATCTTCTCCTCATCTCCGGCATCCAATGCGGTAATGATGGGCTAAACTGCACCGATACAACCCTAGAATCAAGTAACTCCACAATAGGTGTGAAGTTTACGCACCTTGGTACCTTGTACTGGTTGATTGATGCGCCTCTTGAGATGGCATAATCCATCAACTCCTCGAACGTTCCATTTCTCACCACCCTAATCTCCAACGGTCCAACAGAGCTGTCTGCGACTCGGCATTGTCGGTAAACCGAGTTCAACGACTCTTCCATCTCGAGGCAGCATCGACTCAGGGTCTCCTGACTCGGCTGCCTCGCCCCGTCCATCACTAACAACTCCCAATACAAGACGTAGTGGCCTGGGATCGTGCTCGTGTCTGCGTAGCTAGTGTACTCGGCTACGCGGGTGCCACACTCTTTAAGAAGCAGCCTTGATGCGTTCTCCACCGCTTTCTGAAGCTCAGACTCGTCGGTCTTGTCAGAATCGATGCTGAGGAGGACGTTCTTCCTCCTCACGAAGTGGAACTGAGGTGCCGAATTGTGGAAGCCTGTTACCCTGAGGATGTCACCGACTCGGTATCGACATAGACCAGCATAGGTCGTGACAACAAGCTCGTACTCTTTACCGATCTTTACGTCAACGAGTTCAACGGCTTTGGAGCCGCCAAGAGGGATGAACTCGAAGTAGGCCATGTTGGGCATAATGGTGTATGATACTTCGGATGGTTTGCTCATTGGGTTAAGGTTCAGACCAAAATAACACTCGGAGGAAGCGTACATGGTGCAAGCCATCGGAAGACCGCCGCTATAAAACTCCAAAGTTGGTATATACTGAGCCATGGCTCCGGTTACTATGACGTCAAGGTACTTGGTGTTGGGCCAAATCCGGGTGACGATTCCTTCCCAATTTTCGGATTCGCACGCGTGACGGATAAACTCCGCCAAGTTAGGGTCCGGTTTAAGAATACCGGATAAGCACTGCCTTATAGACCGGTTGGTTATCTCAGGGTCAAGATAGCCTAACTGGATATCATTGGCAAAACGAGACCAATGGAGTTGGAGGAAACGGATGGCACGGAGGAGACCAGAAGCAAAGACGGCGCCCACGCGAAGGACAGAAAGACGGTCAAGAAGGCCACAGAGCATCTGAGTGTACATGCTTTGGAAGGAGTCGGGACAGAGAATGGCTTCGTTGGGACTCGTGTAGACGTTATAAGGGTCATATGGTCGAGACCGAAAGTGATCACTCTTGTAGTAGCTGGTTAGGACGGGTCGAGCTGGTAGCCCACCCGGTGTCTTTGTTTCCGACTTAACGAACAGGAAGTACAATCCTTTTCCTTTATCTAGTCCCGGCACATACCTTTTCCAGAAAAGAGAGAAAAGTTGTCAACGCTTGAACAAATAATAAAGAAGTGACTTAAATAAACTCATACGTCACCATTTGTTACTCTTTATTTATTTTCGTTCTGTTAAAGAAACGTTAAACTGAAATTGGCACCATTGATCCTAGCTGTTTTCATGATACAGGACAGGAAGTGCAATGATCCGGAGCCCGAGCCAGGGTCTTGATTTTTTTTTTAACGTATATATATGGTGTTTATAACCATTTATTTTAAAAATATTATATCCAAAAAATAGAGTGTATAATATTTACAAAATCAAACTTTATCAAAGATCCAAAAAAAAAAAACGTGGAAATCTTTAATTATATTGAAAGGCTCTGTGAGACTCACGGGGAAAAAAAATTAATGTACAATGTATTAAAACCAAAAACTTTACAATTGATGCATCATTTCGTTTTTAGAGCTAGAAAGAATGTTTGAGAGTTTGTAAAAGTTTTACCAGTGTCAAAGACTTACAAATTCATAACGGGCATGAGGAGACTGTAGAGAAGCTGGCGACGATCGAGTTCTTCTCTAATGGTCGGCATGAGTTTTCTTTCTCCGGCTGAGGTTCCCGAGCTTGTGAGGAACTCGGATATGGGGTGGGCGGATAAGATCGGAGAACGGTCTCCATCAGCGATGCGTTGGATCTCTGGCTGAAGATCTTCGTAGGTGATAATCGGAAGCTTCGATTTAAAGGTGTCTCGGTCGGTGGCGCCGCAGAGGTTGAAGCGGCGGAGGTACTCGGTGTCAGCGTTGCGTCTCAGAATCTCCGCAAGGAGGTTTTCTTGAACCGCATCCGCGTTTCGAGTCATTTCCTCGATGAAACAGAGGGCTTTCGCGTCCTTTTCACACGCCGGAGGTCCTAACGGGGACGAGAGGTTCGAGTCTACGGCCATATTTGAAGTCTTTTCTTGTTTCTCTTTTGTTGTCTATGTTTTCTTGGAGGGAAAAAACGAAATGATCAGGAGAGAGAAATATTGGGGTAAAGAGACAAAGAAGTGAGTTTGTGTTTTTGTACTTTGGGATGTGTTTTGGGAATGAAGACCTTGTTGAGGGTATTTATATAGAGGAAGGTGAATAAGATGCTTCTAAATTGCCACGTTACACGGCCAAACAAACGTGAGCTCGGTCAATTACTTCAAATAATCTAATGTTTTGTAACTTTCAGATCATTGTTAATCTAAAACATATAGCATGCGCTCCTTAAGAAAAAACCTTTTTTATAATCTATTAAAATCAATGCAATTAAAACATTTTCATGAGCAGTTTTATGTGTTTAACCATAGTTAGTTCTCTAATTAAATTTGGCTTGGTAGTTGGTGATACAAATAAGAGACCATCTTTTTTATGAGCATTTATAGGAGTGGTAGTGGCCAATTAATCGTGGTATAATTTTAAATAATAAAAACGAAAAAATCAAGAAAAATAAGTTACTAGATAAAATTGACACTAAGAATATTTGCCAGAATATAAAACTTTAGCGTAGCTAGTGTTTTCACGTTTAATTGTGATTCTAATAATTTACGATAAAAATTGATACTATGGCACCTTCAAAAAGATAACACTAACCGTGGTTCGTGGTAAAAAAGAAACTGCAAAGAACTAAAGAAGTTATGACTTTTCTAGTATGTCGACTATTTTTATGGAACAAGAAAAAGTTGAAGAAACTACAAAGAACTAAAGAAGTTATGACTTTTCTAGTATGTGGACTATTTTTATGGAAAATGAAAAAAATTGTAACTTTTTCTTTAACCAATAGGTGTTCCGGTTTATACCACTCGACTAATTTTCTAAAAGAGTGTAATTATTGAGTAGTCCACCTACTGGGTTTTATGATGGATCTAAAGGATGATAGCATTTCCACTGGCCAAATAATAGTACAGTTTCACGTTTGCAGAGAATCGATATTTAATACATATCTACTAGATAATTCCTTAACAAGTAGAAATCGTAAGCCCACTACCATTTGGTTTATAAAAAACTGGTGTGTTGATATTGTAAAAACGTGTTTAAAAAGTTACACGATATTGAGTAAACATTTGGACGTGAAACTCAAATGTTTCATGTGAAAACATAATAACAAAAAAAAACTGGTAGAATCATTCACAAAAACCCGGGCTTTTGACAGGAAGGAGACTGGAAAGACGCTGGCTGGAGAATTTTGTTGTGGAGATGATTAATAAATAAAAACACTAATAAAATAAAGGAAAGAGACACAAGAAATGAGGCAACAAAAAAGGAGGGGATGTTGAAGATGAAGCCGACAAGGTAGGACCCAAAGAGAAGGTCAACATGGCACGATAAGAGGAGTTTACATGTGGGGTTAGGCCATAGCCATATCCTCCCCATCTTTCGTCTACGCGTTTCTCGTCTCTCTCTCACTTTGTTTTCCTTCTATTCAATACTTATTGTTTCTCTTTTTTTTTCATATACTATCATGAAAATTTCACTAAATTTAGAGGGATTGTAATATAACTTTTAAATTTTTGCTTTTTTCAAAATATTCAAATGTCTTATGAAATTAAAAAAAGCCAAAATTTAACCTTTTATACATCCAGCACTATCACATCCTACAAACTGATAAACGACTAGAGTCTCGTATTGAATTTAGAATATTCAACTTGATTAGTTCTTTTTTTTTTTTCATTTGAACTTACATCTTGAAACATCCAGTCATGTACATGAAGTTTCCTCTAAACATTCTCTCGAGGCTGTAATTTTTTTTAATAAAAATATCAACTATAATATTTGAAGATAAATATCAACTATATAATATAAAGTATTATTTTTATCTAACTAGGTTTATTTTTATTTTTTTCAAGCAAAGTAGGTTTGTTCGTGTAAAATGTTTTCTGCGTTTTTTTTTGACAAAGGAATTACTTAGCCAATAAATTACATGAGTTATTGAGTTATATAATCACTTACATAAACAAGAAGACTAATATAACCGATAAATTAATTATAAATATGAAAAAGGCATGATATATAATATGAAGTTTTCATCATTGTTTTTTTTTTGATATACGGAGGTAAATCCCTTTAAGCCTAGCATCTTTTTCATATAAGTGCAGTTTAGCAGTTCACATGGTTGGGTGGCCAAGAATTAATGTGATAATTCCACATCCAGTGAAATTTGATCCCTAACCTAAACCCACAGAATTAATATGTTAATTCATCATTGTTATCACAATAGAAAAAACAAATTCTGTAAAATTATATTAGGTGTATAAGTTTTTTTGTTATTATAATTTTCTGTAGTGAATTATTATTAGCTTTTAAAAGAATCATTTTCAAAAAAATCGATTTTCAAAAATCAATAATAAAATTATGGCTCTAATTCTTGTCGACAAAGACAAAAACTATATGGTATTTTTGATATTTTCCTCTTTAATTAAAGCGATCGAAGAAGAACGACGAACGGGCCCCCTGACAAAAAGGAAATGTGTTGCCGTGTTGGTGGTCGAAAGCAATGGTCCATTGGGCACGTGAGACAAATGCCTAATTCCATGCATGCATGCTTTCTTGCGTCGCCATTTACAGTTTTCCACTATGCATTATTACATATATATCATCACAAAATCTCTATATTTATAATTCGCTTTAAAAGAAATTAAGTTTGGTTAATGATGTGGTCATCCAGCCAGAAGTCGAACATGTCATAATAGTGATGCCAAAACTGGAAGAGGTGATGGAAAACCAGCCAAGAACAGTCATCCCATGGATTGCCAAACGGAGATCAATACAACCAAAATAAGCATTAACAAGCATTCTATTTCTGACCAAGGAGCTATGACCATTGGATGAGACGCCTTACTCGATGATCGAATAGTACTAGAAGAACCAATGCCATCGCCACCCAATGAACCATGGCCCAAGAAAAGAGAATTACCGAACAACTGACCAAGGTCAATATTATGGTCGAGCCACATTTCATTTGGTTTGGCCCAAAATATAAGGTAGTAGACACGCCTCACTAGGTTATCGAGAAACACAAGAACCAGCGTCATTTCCACAAGATCCGACGAACCAAGCCCAAAGAAAAAAAATTTACCGACCAACTGACCATAGAAAACATTTTGGTCGAGTCATGTCACCTTTGCTTTGGTCCAAAAACAGAAATATTCACGACTTCTTGCTAATCTGATCATGCTTATGGGTCAAACTATGCACTATTCAGCCGAGCACTATCAAGCTACAACCCAAAGCTGAGCCGGTCCCATTATTTGGGTCCTTCGTAGATCCAACCAGTTGAAGATCTAACTTGAATCACCTCGGATCCGCCCCATGTCTCCATTTCCCCACGAGTAGGGGGCTCGACTAACAAAGACAAACTTTATCCAGTTATAAATTTAACTTTGCTTGATATAATATTTCAAATTTTATTATATCATAATTAGAGAAAAATAACTCTCAATAATATACGTTATATAATTTATAATGGATTTCTATAAATTAGTATTATATTCCATACATTTCAGATGAAGTCAACATTTAGTTGGGGAACCGGACACTGGAGGTTTCCTGTTGCATCACTAGCATGTTGCCGTTACAAAAAAAAAAAAAAAAAAACTATACAACACGATAAAAGAATATAGAATACCTTTGTAGATAATAGGATTAGAGAGAACAAAATAATGGTCAATACAATTAAAGTAAGAGAACAATTAGGTCTGTTTGCAAAACTAACTTAGGTCCCTTATATTTTTGCTACACTAATTTTACAAGCGTGGAAAAGACAGCCTTACCCCTTATAAATGAAAATCTGGTTTTGTTTTTTTTTATGCATTATAAAATCGTAATTCAAAAATATACTAAATATACTGTGATAAATATATAATAAATTATAACTCTCTTCGAAATAAATGTAGAACAAAAAAATAAAATTTTCAGTTTTCCAGAAAAAAACTGTTCTCCGAAACCCTAGAGGCGATTCGGTTGCAAACGAAGAAAACGGCTTAGACGAGACGACGACGACCTAGAAACCCAGTTTTCCGGTGTTTCCTCGTTCTCTGCTTCATCGGCGTTTGTTGTCGGCCTGGTCTGCGTCTCTGGTAAGTAATTTTATATGTCTTCGTTTTGCTGAAATCTTCGGTTTGTTTCGTTTTAGAATTCGCGTTCGTTCACCGTCGTCGGATGTGTCGGCGAGAGGAGGCACCGGCGAAGTGTTGTGCAAACTGTCTAACCCTAAATTTTGTTTCCAGTGCAGGAATTAGTTGGTTCGCGGTGGTTTCCTCAAAAACTACTAAGAGTTTTTGAAACTGCGCTTTGTCGATTTTTTTTTCCCGGTGAGTTTTTCGAAGGAATTTTACAGGCATATTTGGTAGACTACTAAGAGATAAGTCTATTTCACTTATGTATTGGTCAGGTAGAGTTGTTTGTTGTGACTCTTATAGATAGCATTGTGATAGAGTTGTTTGTGTGTCGTTTCAGGTTTAGATATAATTGTTTGTTTTGTTGACATGTAAAATTGTAATGGTTGTTTGATAGACTTGTTTGTTGAATATAACCGTAGTTTGTGTTGAGTGGTAGACTTGTTATTGGTCTTAGGTAGACTTGTTATTAGTGTATGGTAGACTTGTTATGTTGACTTGTAGAAATGTAATGGTTGTTTGGTAGACTTGTTTGTTGAATATAACCATAGTTTATAGTAAACTTGTTATTGGTGTGAGGTAGAGTTGTTATTGA